TAAAGTCACTGAGAACATTGTGGTTATTAAATTCATTTAAAACTGATTCTGATATTACTTTGAGTGTAAATTCTTATTCCAGGAGTGAGCTCACCTGTTTACATAGTTCACGTATCCAGAAAAATCAGAATCAAAATGTGCACGCACATCGCTGTTTCTGTGCCCTTATTTCTCTCTGTCCTCCAGTGACTCAGCCCCGTCACCTGACGTGATGTACACTTTGTCTCATCAGTTCTTATGCAACGTGTATTTTGTTGGTACATCACTTTTGAGTAAAAACAATGAGAGAAGAAGAGCTGATAGCATTTTCTCTGAAGATATGTAAAGGGATCAGCTCTTTAAGAGAAATATTACCAAAACCGAAGGGGGTTGAGGTGGGCCCTGAGGGGCAGGGGACATGTGGACACAGAGAAACGGGAGAGTGACAGTGGGGAGAGCTGGAGCTTTGAGGTGCATGGACGAGTTCTGAACAGACTGCTAGAGGGAACGGGATGCAAAACTTTTTTAAAAGATGAATAAAAATAGATGCTGACTAGCACCCAAAGCCCAGCTGACATCATAGATCTGAATTTGGAGTAGATTCAACTGGCAGAGTTACTTGGATTTCTCTAATAATGTTCAGAAAATGAAAGGTTAGGTTATCCCAGCGGAACACAGTGAAATTCAGTCACAATGGAAGAGAGATGGAAATATTACACATTCTCCACCGCACTCAAGGGTCAAGCCGGAACTCCTCATTCAGAGGGCGCCCCACTTACAGCTGCCCTAAGTATACCTTAATCCTGATTTCAGTTCTCATTTTAGCTAAAATTGGTTTAAAATACATTCTGGCTGAACGAAGATCTGACTGAGGCTAATGGGAGAATTAATACATAATCGGTGACTTGTTGGTACCAGTAAAAGCCTATGTGTGGAACTTTCCATTTCTAACAAACTCATTGGGGAGCCACTATTTTACTTCCCGGGCTGGGAAGTCCGGGCCCCTCGGAGCCAGAGCTGAAGGGGCAAGTCTCAGCAGCCCCCTTCCACACTGCTTTGTATGGAAGATGGAGATGATGGAGAGGATGGGCTTTGACCCTTCCATCTCCTCTTCACACTCCAGAAAAAACTTATGACTCACACGCACTCGCTTGACAAGTTCATTGAATAAGCATTTATTGCGTTTCCCCTGCCTACAGAGCAGTCGCAACCTTGGGTGACCATGTTTCATGACGGGGTCTGGCATACAAAGATGAATTGAGCCACACAGAGCTCTTCCTTGTAAAATCCGAGCCAACAGATACTAAGCCATGACGTATTTCATGTACCACAGAGGTACACGGAGGAAGGCTCCCACGTGGGTGGCCCAAGTGTCACCTGATGGGCAGAAAGGAGCTCCGAGGAGGCAGAAACAAGGAGTGCTCTGTGGAGAGAGAGAGTGGGCAGAACCACAGACCCCATGGAGGGAGAAAGCACATGGCCCACATGAGGGGCGGGGGTCCCTCCCCAGAGCCAGAACCCCCGTCAGCCTTGCCTTGCAGTTTCCGCGTGTGCACAGAATACAGCGGCAGACTTCATTTTCTCCAGACAGTTGGAGTGCCTCTCTGCTTCTTGATTTGAGTGATTACTGTACCGTGCATTTTTATGAGGACACATATATTTATACACCACGCTCCACATACTGAGTTCACATCCGTGTTCAGAACATATCCTGTGTATTTTTCTACGTCTTCACATTTCTTCTCTTCTTTGAATCCTTATTTAAAGAAGAAGTAGGCAGAACATGGAAGCCTAGAGTAGGCACGGAAGACCTGCCTGTTGCTGACACTCCTGCCTTTGAGGTTCTGGGAGGGGACAGCCAGCGTGTCCAGTTGGAAGAGCATGGTCTTCCCACTGTGAAACGCCAGATCCTAGTTCTGGGTCTAGCCCCAGTCGTGTGACTTGCCTACACTACTTTGATCCTCCAAGCCTCAGCTGATGTCGATCCAAGTAGTTTAAAACGATTTCACTTGTGGGCAGGTATGGGCATACCATACGAAGCAGCAGCTAGAATCAGCACATGGGAAACAGTCAACAATCTTCACCCCCATGTGGGGATTGCCCAAGATCACCCACAGCCTGGAAGCAGCTGGGGTCTTTTCTGGGGCCCACCCATAACTGACTGACATCCTCTAGTCCCTGTATCTCTCTGTGTCCATGAACATAAATGCAGGTGATATCCACGCCTAAACATTCATTACTTTCAGGCGCCTTCCTGAAGATGCTGCTTTATGTTCTTCCTTCCTTCCTGATGACCCAAGGTACCTTCTTTAATCATTTTCTTGTTTTTAAGGAAATTCCTTTAGCCATTCTTTTAGTTATGGTCTCCTGACAATAGACTCTCTTTGTTTTCATTGGTTAAGGATGTCTTGAATTTATTCATTCCTAAAGTATATAGAATTCTGGGTTGATAGATCTTTTCATTGAACAATGAAAAAATGTCACCCCACTTCCTGGACTTTATGGTTTGTGATGAGAAACCTATTTTCATTAGAATTATTTGTTCCCTGGTGGCCGGCCGTTGTTTCTTTGTTGCTTTTACAATTCTTGCAGCACTGTTCAGTTTTCAGAAGTCTGACTACGACGTGTTTTGGTATGGACATATTTTGAGTCCACTCAGCTTCCTGAATCTGCAGAATTATGTCTTTTGCAGAAATTGGGAAGGTTGCAGACAGTATCACATTTTCAGCCCCTCTGTCCTGGACCTCGGCTCTGCCACTTGGGTGACATGAATGTTAGATAATCTGTTTTGGCCCCACAGTTGCCTGAGGCTCTGTTTTTCCCAGTCTGTGTTCTCTCTGTTGCTCAGACTGGCTAATTTCTACTGCTCTCTCTTCCAGTTCACTGGTTCTTTCTTCTGTCCTCTTCATTTTGCTATCGAGCCTATTAACTGAGTTTTGCATTTTAGTTACTGTAATTTTCAGTCTTGAAATTTCCATTTGGTTCTTCCTTATATCCTCCATTTCTTTGTAGGGACCTTTTCTTTTTTATTTTAAGCATGTCTGTAATTGCTTGTTAAAGCAATTTTATAATGGCTGCCTTAAAGTCTTTGCCAAATGACCTTAACAGCGGTGTGGCGTTGGTGTCAGCATCTACCAATTGTCTTTCACCGCTCAGCTTCAGGTCTTCCCAGGTGTCCCCATGGTAAGTGATCTTTCTACCGGAACCTTCACATTTCGTGTATTAAGAGACTCCGGTCTCATTCGGGCCTGCCACCTTCGCAGGCTTCCTTGACACTGTCCCGGCTGGGAGGAGGCTGCCACGTTACCAAGGCTGCCCCCGGCCGCTTCCGCGCCTGCTGTTCCGCTGGGGGAGGACGAGCGTGTGGCTCCGCGCAGGCCTCCCCCGGCCCCGCCGGGCGGGCGTGGGCACAAGCGCCCCGTCAGTGCTCCCCCACCTGCCCGGATGCCCCGGGGGCGGGAGGAGAGGGCTACCGCTGGGTGCTGATTCGAGTCCTGATTCCGCACCCGCGCCTGTCGACGCCACGGCAGCGGGAGGACAGGGGCGCCTCCTTCCCGGCCGGTGGGCGTGGCCGTCGGCTCCCCCGCCGCAGGTTCTTCTTGCCCCCGCGGGCGGCCTGGCCACAGCCTTGTGGGGACGGGATCTAGGACCCCACTCGGCCTCTGCCTGTGTGGCCGCACTCCGGCCACGGTTTGCACTTGCGTGGTTGGCTGGAGAGGAAGAGTCGCTGCCTGAGTGTTTTCCGCCTTGCGATGCTGCCCCTTGCGGGCTCCGTGGCTGGAGGGGCGGGCTCCTTGGTCTGCGCGCACTGTGGTTCCTGGGCGGCTTGCTGGCTTCTCTGACCCGCTTTGGGCTACAGGAGAAAAGAAGGCAAAACTCTGGGCAGCTCACTGCTGTGCTGTCCCCTAGGCCCAGCCAGGCCGCCTGCTTCCGCTGGTCAGAGTCGCCGCGTGCCAGCGGCACGAGCAATGGTTGTGGGCTGGGCTTGGCGGCAGCAGGTGGGGCAGGGCGGGTGTGCCGCCTCCGTGCTCTGGGTCGCTGCCGTCCGCTCCACGAGCTTTTCCATGCGTGTCCCTCCATGTCCGGCTGTGCTTCGAAGAGGATGCTGACGCTGATCGCCAAACGGGCCACGCCAGATGTTCGCGCCTCACTCTCTAATCAGAGAAAGTGAGATGCTCGACCCTCTGCTTCCCCGTGGCCATCACTGCCGGGGTGTGAGAGCCCCGCTGATGCGGGGTCGCCTGAGGGGCCCAGGCCGGGTCCTGGCTGGAGCAACTTTATCCTGTGGTCGGGACAGGTGCGCCTGCCCTCCCCCCCCCCCCCCCCCCCCCCCGGCCCGCCCCCCTGCCCCCGTCCTTGGCCCCCAGACATGTGCCAAACACTGCACTGGGCCCATATGAGCGATGTTACAAAACCCAAGAATAGAAGTAATTTAAAAATGGCATCATTTTTTATTACATGGAGGGGTGCTAGTAAGAGTGTAATGTGCTATGTCTCGCGGTATCCCTTTAAAAAGGCAGGGAAAACATCTCCTCAGCTTTGAACCAGAAGAAGTGGAACAACTAGCTCCCAGCGACACTTTGGAAGCTGAGGAGGCAGCACCCCCGCGCTGGGCGGCCAGCGTCCGCGGCCAGGCCTGGGCGCCCTCCGCACGCGTTCTGTGCGCGCACCTTTCCCTGACTGCACTTGATTTTTCAGTCAGGATTGTACATCAGCCCTGTTTCCTCTATTGGTTCCTGTCCCCCTGTAGTACAGTATGACTTTTCGTACCGATTTCACTTCGTTTTGGAACAGAGAGGGGAATGAACGCATTCAAAGAAGACAGAGGGTTTGTGAGTCTTCCATTCGCCCAGGGAATGAATGTCAGGTTGGTTCTGAGCGGGCGACAGACCCCTGGCAAGGCCTGCCACTTGCCACACTGGCTCTCAGGACACCCTCCAGGAGAGAGCCTGCTGCCGCTTAATTTACACTGTGTGCGCTGGACAGAGCTTCTCGAAGGGACAGACAAACACAAGTACTACCTGGAGGACCGAGGCTCCACTGTGCAGGAACTGAAGGCCGCTCTCCGCCGAGTCAATTCCACCGGTGGCCAGAATGGGAAACCCAGGCAGCGCGCGAGCAATGGCGGACACCGCTCTCAGAGCGATAGGTCTGATGGCCGTGCCTGCGGGAAAGAGATCGGTCAGCGGTGAGCATGCCGGCCACTGAGCTACTACTTATTGCCTTCTGACCTCCACGACCTGGCAGCTCTGCTGGGCGAGGCCGAGCTCAGGTTTCCTGTCTCTATTTAAGATGCACTGACATGCAACACATAAACATCGTTATGTTTCAGGCTATGTTCATTTGTCAGTGGATGTGCTTTTATTGTAGAAACTTTGATGCTACTACTGCATGCCGACGTGTTATGCAAGCAGGTGGAGCTGCCGCGCATAAAGTAGATGCACGTTGCAATTTGATACGCAGTGCTGTGTAGGAGATTGCGTGGAACATTCAGGCATCTGTTTTAGGAAGGACAGGAGCAGCAGATTCCGAGAGAGAAAACAATTGCACACAGCGCGTAAATAGACACCCAGCTCTGTTGTGTTTCTGCGAAGCAGGAAGCAGCTGGTGTGAAGGCAGAGACGGTGAAATCAAGCTTGCTGCCGGTGAGCTTACAGATTCCATATTGCTTTGTACATATGATTTCCATAATTCGATAAAACATAGTAAGCCTAACCTAATTTCCTCATACATTAGAAAGTTTTAGCCGAGTTAACGAGAATTTAGTAGAATTCAGTAATTAGAAAGTATGTGTTTCATGTTTTATACTTTATCCAGCCAGACATTATCAACATATTATTCCCTAATTATAATGAAAACTTCATGGATGGTCAGAATACTTTGAAGTTATTTTTTAAACAACTATACTGTGCTAAAGCTTCATTCGACTCCAAGGTTAAAACACTTGGATAAAGTAAGGCTTTCATAACACAGGAATATAATTTTCTTTTTGCTGTGGACTCTTAAGTCAATGGCACTTTAAAGTCATTTTCTGAACACAAAGCAGTTCCGTGTGCGCAGGAATTTGGGCGGCCCTTGGCCCAGGCCCCAAAACAAAGCAAGCCCGCCCACAAGCAGCAGGCAGGCGCTTTCCCCTCCACCAGCGCAGGCGGCCCCACCGGCGTCACCGCAGGCGCCGAGCAGTGCGCTTCCTGTGGGGGAGCTCAGAGAGCTCTCCCTAAAACCGGTGCCTTTTCTTCACTCTGTCTCTACCCATTTCAGGTGCAATCGAATGCGTGTGTAATGGATACTGTTGGGTTTGACCCCAAACTGTGTGAACGTCTTGTTGCTCCCGAAGCTAAGAGCGCTCCCTGTGCACGTTAGCCTTTCTCAGTCAAGACTGTTTGGCGCTTGGGGCACCGGCAGGCCGGCGTTCAGTTAGGGGGAGTTAGAAACGGGCTGTCAGGACCCCGTTTCTATTACAAAACATGCACCGGCGCCTCATCAGGGTGCACACTGCAGCCAAAAAGAGGGCTCACACGCTGGGCAGGGGAGCACCCTGCCAGAACACACACCCACTTCGATTCACTCACCTAAGGATAAAGTTTAAAAAAAAGCTTTTTAAGGATCGTCTCGGTAACTTAAATCTGTTAGAGAGACGTACAGCTATCTCTGCACAATATAACTGGCAAGTTCAGCAGGTACTAAGCTGATGTCTTCTTTACGTGCATGGACTTTGAAGTAATAAAGAAATATTGGGATTTTATTTTTTTTCTTACTTAGTTAGCCCTAGAGAGTAAAAGAAATTTGAGCTTAGAAGATCAATAATTTATTTCTTACTGCACTATTAGGAGACTATCATTATTAACGCTAAGGGGTAAAATTTCAAAGTGGTTCACAGGGATTTGGCCACACATTCCAATTGCTATTAATGGACATCAAGTGGCAAAATCCCAGAACACAGCTTTGAAAATTTAACCAGTTACATTTAAAGGGCAACATTATTACACAGGTGTTAAAATCATCAGTGAATCCTCAGTGGCATTTGAAGATGTTCAATTAGGTTAATAAGACATTTTTTTAATTTTATGTTTTTCTCCCTTTTCCCAAGATTTTCTAATCTATCTAATGAACATGAAAACCTTTCAAATTAATAAAGGCATCTTTTTAAAACTTAAGAGTAATCATGTTTTCTGAGAAAATGTGATCCAAAAATGAAGGAACCAGTCCATCTGCTACTGGGTAATAATAAATGCAGTTTTAATTCTCATTTGATTGGTGTTCTTATAATTCAGTTGCTTTCATATGAAATATGTTTTCAGCATTTTTATGGGTTTTCAGGATCACTTCCATCCACCATAAGGTTTCTGAAAGGAAACTAAGCGCATGTAAAAGGATCTTTCTAAGTTGTTATATAGACCTTTTTTAGTTTTAAAAACAACAGAAATGTAGAAATAATAGGTTTCAGATAAAAACGAAACTTTCTGTGTAAAGAAGAAACATGTCAATATCATATAGTTATACAAGTTCACTAAGACGCAGCGAGATCTCCTAGAATCACAGTCACTGAGGAGAGGATTTCTAAAATTGGTCCCTGCTAAGGTTTTTAGACCAAAGACTAGGAAGGAAGAAGCCAACGTGAGAGGCTCAGGGAGCCGACTGTGGTCCGCGCTCTGAAGGAAACGACAAGGTTTAAATCAAGAAATTGAAATCCCGTAAGCTTGCCCGAACCCACAGTCAACGTGAACTTAAATTCAGCCCTCGCTGACTTGGGGTGGCCAGGTGAACCAGTGGGGGTGCGGCGGGGGGAGCTCCGGTACGTTCCCCAGCCGCTGGGCTTCAACGGTGCGCAACACGCCAACGAAAACCAAGCCACTCTGAATCCCTGCATTTTGAAAGAAGCTGAAGTTTCGAACAAACAGACGAAAAGGGACCGACGCCACCAAGAACCGACGTGGCTGCCGTGAGTGCTGACTGGGGCGGACGGGTCCCCGTGGAGCCGCAGGCACGGCTGTGACTTCGGGGTCCAGCCCCTCTAGGCCTGCCACCTACTCACACCCTGGAATGCAAACCAGGGCACTGAATTCACTGAGCTTTGATACACTTCACCAGACGTTGCTGGATTGATCGATGTCCTAAAAATAAAAAAAACATTTTAGTACCCCAGAGATTTTGAAACCAGTCTGATTTTAATGAATTTTTTTCCTTAAGGAAATGATCCTGCCACTCAGCAAATATCATTTTATAGGCAATCTCAGAAATGCTGCCATTAACAATAGTACTGTGTACCAGCATAATCAGGATCCTTACTTAGGCCTCGTTTATCCATCCGTCCATCTGTCTATCCAAAAAATATTTATTAAGCACCAAGGCCTTTGGTTAAAACAAAGATTATTGTATTTGAACCTGAAAAGCTTGTAAGAACCCGCACAGTTAACTCCTCAGTGTCCTAACCGTGGTCTCGCGCCCGTGGGTGCCCAGCACGCTGGCCCCAAGCACCCTAGGGGTTGTTTCAAGGTAAATAATGAGTCCGCTTGTTTGTCTGTCCAGATACCCCATTAGGACAAATGCACCCGCATATAAACCTCATACATCTTATAGGTGCTGTTACTATGAACTCCAGAAGGAAGGCGATGTGCGGATGAACAGTTGCAGATCAGACCGACCGTGGGGCCGGCTGCTGAGGCTGGGATCCCAGCCGCCTGGGAGCTGGGGACTGTGTGGGGATTTCTGTTTTTCCATCTGCACAATAATACAATTATAACAACTGCACAGGGTTGTTGTGAGGATTAGGTGATTTAATTTACAGAGGACTAGCGCGTATCCAAATTGCACCTGAGTTTGCTATTATAATCGGACCCACCCCCGAGGACAACTGACCTCAGTTCCCTTCCTTTCCTGCCTTTCCTGCCATTGCCGAGGCTTTGCCTGCCATTGCCGAGGCTCAGTGGTGCAACGGAGCTGCTCTTTTACCTGGAGACCAAGCCCGATGCCTGTGATGACAGCGGCCCACCCGCCGGCGCCGCCGGGGAGTCGCCCCCCCCCCCGGCCTCCGGCGCATCCCCTGCCGGCTTTCCCTGAGTAGTGCCACACCTTTGGTAAGATTGATGGACTCCAAAGGCAAAAATCTCAAACACCAAACATCAGTGTATTTTTTTAGAAGTTTTTGAGAATCTAAAGGTCCTTTCACTAAGCCGATATGCAAAGATTTTAATGACGATGTCAGAACTCAAGTTCTGGGGTGACAAGGAGGTGGGGCCTTCCTCTGCAGGACTAAATCCCCGGAGAGAAAAGAAATTGGAAATGGGCAAGACAGTGTGGAAACGGGCTAATTGTGGATAACTTGAATTTTGAATAATTGAGTTTAATACTGCCCCCACCCCCAAATCATTTGACCCCTAGGACAGCCACTGCTACACGATTAATTGTTAGAGCTAAGTCCACAATAAACTCCTGATAATAGCTCTCGCTGGCATTAAAATAGAAATTGGGTTATAATACTCACTCATGCTCATTGTTTATACAAAAGGAAAGTGTAGTTTAATTTGCTTACACTAATTAAAATATAATGAATTAAGTGGATAACAAATTCATTGGAAATTGAACTTTGACTCTCTAATTGTTAATAGTTTTAACATCATCCTGAAGAAAGAAAATATTAGCAAACTAAAAATTTCAAGGATTTAGGAGCTGAGAGTTTGATTTTTATAAAATACACATAAATCAAGCACTAAAAGACATATACTTTATGAAAGCAAGTTTAAAGTGTTAATAAACCTAATATACTGATAAATGTGGAAAACAGAGCTATAAAATACACATCTCTCTATGTGGATCCAAGCCCTCAGAGAAAATTTGCACAGTTCACCCGAAAACCAAGGCGCTGGAAGGGCCCCAGGCTGCGTGCGGAGATCTGAAACCCGAAGAGGAGACGCAGAGAGGAAGGAGAGCACCTGTTTTGTGCTGTTGCTATTTTCGGCTTACGAGAAGAGCTCAAATTGTTCTTTTGAAAATGATTTAATTTCTGTAGGGAATTTCAAGGCTGCTGCTGTTAGAGAAGGTCCCGGAGCGCTGGTCCATGGAGCGATTTCCGGGTGCCAGACACTGGGTCGAGGGCTTCCTCTGCTCCTGTCATTTCACCGTTAGGACGTGGTGACAGCGGAGGCTGAGTCTCTATCTTGTATA